GTTTGGGAGCTTGAAGTTCGGGGGAACCATCTCCCCGTTGATGTCATCAGTAAAGGGCGGAGCCCTCATGTAGTCAGAAGCTAGACCCCCGGGGCGCCGAGGTGGGTCTTCAGCTCGTTTCCCTAGCAGTCCCCGGGAAAACGCCCGGGAGATGGAGGCAAGCTTAGAGGTCGCCTTGGAGGAGGCGCGCCTGGAGGTACTCCGAGAGAGTCGCCCCTCATCGGAGTCTTCACCTGAAGGTACCTCAGGGGACTTCGTCGGCCTCCTCTTGGAAGACTCGGCCTTTTCTTTCCCCTGCCTTTTGAGGTACCTTCCTAGCTCCTCAAAAATGGTAGGGTTGTGCGATACGAACTCGGCCATCTTGGCGATGGCATCATCGTTGTTGGGCTGGGTCCTTTGGTACCCTGGTTCTTCAGATATGCGATCTTGCTGGGCTCCCGAGGTCTGCCCAGCCCCGTTGGAGGGAACTCTTCCGCTTCTAGAGCGCGTGGATCTCATTTTAGCAAGTCTCGTTCCCACAGACGGCGCCAATTGAAGAGGTGATTTTCGGTTGGTAACTAGACCGACCTGGATCAGTCCTCTCTGAGATGAAGTGAGGTGAACTCCTGTGTCCGAAGTGAACCTCGGTGTCCGAAGTGAGTGGCGGGGCTTCTTCCCTGGGATCACTCCGACGATCAAGTTAGTATGAGAACGAGAATAATGAGAATGAGTTAATGAATAGTGTATGCTTACTTGTTGGGAGTGTGAGTGAGGTATTTATAGAAGAGAGGTGGTCAAGACGGAAGGCTCATGCTAGCGGGACCCACTCTCTGGCATTACGGCTCTGTCTCCTGTCAGGAGGTCTGACTCTGACACTGTAGCCGCCTGAGAGTGATGACGGAGGATATGGTGCTGGTGCCATTAAGTGCCTCCAGTGCTTTTCAGATAAAGTGCTGGTTCTGGATGATGTCAGGTGGGTTGACATCCTCAGCGTGCAGCCGAGGTGGATGTGCCGAGGTCACCTACACGGTGGACTAGGGATGAAGCCGAGCTCTGGGATTGTGCTCAAGACAGGGATGAGCTCCGATGAGGGACGAGACTTGTGTTCACCTCGGACACCCGCGTGTCCGAGGTGAGCATCCTCAGAGGTCGTTTCCGTCTGTATGGGTTTGGACATCAGGTACACAACGACAAACGAGTATTGCATCAAACAAGTAGAGCAGATGCCGCTATCCATAAGAAAGTTAAACGAGCATTCGGCCGCTATCCATAAGAAAGTTCGTACATAATACGAGTATTCGGCCGGATGGCGCGACTAGGGGTGCAAACGAGTCGAGTCGAGTCGAGTTTTGGCCTTATCGAGTCGAGCCTTAACTTAATTTCATCGAACTCGAACTCGAGCTCGAGCTCGACGAGCTGGTAATTTTCAAGCTCGAGCTCGAGCTCGAAAAAAATAAAAAATAATTATTTTATTTTTTAAAAAATAAATAAAATAATATTTTTTCTTAATAAATAATAAAATATTAAGGATATTTATGTAATTTTACTATTAAAAATAAAAATAAAAAAATAAATATATATATACTCGAGCTCGCGAGCCGGCTCACGAGTTAACGAGTTTAATGTTTTGAGCTCGAGCTCGAGCTCGATTCTGGCTCGAGCAGCTCGAGCTCGACTCGAACTCGATATTGATCGAGCTCGAGTCGAGCCGCTCGCGAGCGGCTCGATTCGTTTGCACCCTTAGGCGCGACGGAGAAGCAAACTAATCTAAGGTCTATTGATTAACCACCAGCTCATCAAAAAGAATGCTTTGACTAACCTTGATCGTGTACTTTAGGCAAATATCAATCTACAGGCACCATCCCTTTTCAGAGAGAAGATTGCGCTCAAATTGGATTCGGAGAAGTCACATTTTCTGTAATATAATAAAAAAAGAATCAATTGGTATTGGGTCAAGTGGTAAGCAGTTTGGTTCCGCTTAAGCAGATCTTGGGTTCGAAATCTGGTGTACGCAATTACCCTTGTTGGGAGACTCACCCATCACAGCCAGGTGTGCGACCCGGATCGACTAACGGATTAGTCAGGACAAAACTCTAGATACCGTGACAGGCAACCAAAAAGAAAAATTAAAAAAGGGAGGTGAGATTCTTATTTGCTTATTTTTATATGAAAAATATTAATCACCCTTCACTTTTATTATTTATTTTATCATATAATCTAATACGTGAAAATCATTTACTAATAATAAAAATGATATTAGAAGTAGGGTGAGATTAACAATTTCCTGTCTATGTTCCGATGTCCAAATCCACTCAGCGTAGTCCATTCTCTCCCGGGTTAGCCTAAGGTGCTAGATAGTTAATTTAGGTTTGTAAAATGCCAAAAAGTCAATTTTGGCTTTGGAGAAAAAAAGTTGAAAGGCACAAGTAATTGCTTTGATGGTAACCGCTGGCCGACCCTTCTTTCCAAATCAAGAAATAAAACGAGATATCTTTAGCCTTAATTCGGAATTAATGATGTCACTGGTGAAAATTCGTTGGTATATTGGAGGTCCTCAAATCAATCGGGTGTTTAGCTGAAGACAAGAAATTTAGTCCAATAACACTCCAATATCAACAACTACACCCAATAAAAGAAATTAAATTTTTTTTATAAAAAATAGGAAGAAAAATTCATGTCAGCATGAGCATGGGGATATTCATATATTCCCATCCTCCATATTTATCTATGTCATTAAAAATTTGAGATTTGCGAATCTGTTAGGGTCAAACTTTAAGTCTCCTTACTACTAGGAATTCACAACAACAAAACATTAGTACCATTTTGTCGCCTCCTGAATCGTGAAATCCAATTCCAACCTACCCTACTAATGGCTTTTAAGTCCACGAAAATGCCTTGTGTTGTTTCGTCGTAGTACGAAATTTTTTACCGGCTATAGCCTGCAGTCGTCTAATATTCCTGCCGCCTTAACAGCTGTTTTGCAGCTCCTCCAGATTTTCTTCTTTACAAGCCTTGTTAGGCTCGGTTCTCCACACTAATTAACAATAAAAGTAAAATCCCAAACTGACCACACAAAAAAAAAAAGAAACACTCTAACAACAAGATAAGAAACCTGTTTTGCTGGTTTATTTTGTTTAGTACGACTTAATTGAGTGGCTTCCCACTTTCACGCTCTCATTGTATAATATATATTCCTCTGCACATCACTCGGTAATTCCTCTCTTTACCTTTCCAAAAATATTTTTGTTTAGACCTAACTAACAATGCATGAAGTTTACAGTTCGCGTGAGTGTATCATTCATGATACAAGAAAAATTATGTTGATCGGGTGATTGAGGAAGTAAATCTTTTTTCTCCTTTTTGGATAACTAGCTATAGTATAAGTAATTCATTCTTTTTTGTTTTACTCCTTCGTGTGGGAGTGTTTCCTTTTCTTTTATATGATAAAAACATCCTCATTATTTATAAACTGCCACATTGATGGAAGATGGATCATTAGAAAAAAAAAAGTAGAAATCTATATCATAAATTAAGCGACAAAAGGGTTCAATTAAATGTTATTGAATATTTAATTTGATAAGTAAATGAAATACTTACAAATATTTTGTCATTGATTTGATAATCTTTTATAAAGGTGGGAACATTTTTCAAACTAATCAACTCCAAGTACGAATGTTAGTATTGAGGGTTTAATTAATTTTGTTAAATTTTGTAGAGTTCGTACTATAAATGAGAATGCACAATTTTTACATGAATTAATGTGTTGGTCGAACAATGTACCTCCATTTTTCTAACAATTAAGAATATACATAATTCAAAGTTATCATTTGTGTTAGAAAGTTTGTAAATAATATTGTATAAATATATATATATATATATATATATATGTATGTATGTATAAATAATCTATACCTTCCTTTCTAAATCTCTAAGATAAGAAGTATGACAATGAAATATGAATCGTACCTGTCTGTCTTGAAGAGTGAGGCATACGTTACCACTAGAATCTCTAACATGTATGTTAATATTGTATCTGTTAAGAAGAAATTGTGATATATAGCAAAAAAATATAATTAAAATGAGATATACATCATTTTTGAAAAAATGTAACTGCATCATTACAATGGATTCACACCGTTTTTAAAAAATGAGATTGCCATGGTTGTCCACAGTTTTTGCATAACTCATGGAATAAATTGTCTATGTTATTGCTTTGAATGAAAGCAGGTATCCGAAAATATTTAACCTAAAACTATTTAAAAAACATATAGATTACAATTATTAATTCAAAATAAAATATAGATAATTGTTCATTAATTAATTAATTGAGAGAATTTTTACCGTAAGTGTAACTGTAAATGTTTCCTCCTTTGCAATTAAGTTGAGGGCTAAGATCGATACCAGAAGGAAGTTGAAAGAGATTGAAACCAAAAGGAAATTGAAAGAAATCGTAAATTGTGATTTTTGGTGTTGTTATCTCTTATTATTGGGTTGGAGGAGTTTTACTCAGAGTGGATTTGTTAATTAGAGGAGTATTAATTGGAGTAAAAAGGTATGTGAAGAGAGCAGTGTTAGTTGGAGTTGAATTCTTATTTGATGGAAATATAGTCGTGTGTTTCAAATATGAACATGATGTATTTTACAAAATAAATTAAATGAAAAATGGAATTGAGAGTGGTAAAGTGTGTGAAGGCTTGTTGTTAAAACCCTTCTCAAATTTATATAGATATAGATTTCCAATGACCAATTGTGTAGAATTTTCTTTCTTTAAAAAAAAAAAATTTTTTTGGCAAGTAAATATTCTCGCATCCTACAATGCGCGTATTTTGAAGAATTCTAACGGAAAAACCTGCCTCTCTCCGACCCTTCATTCACACACGTACATACATGTATGCACGTCCCTCTCCTCAATCAAAATCTTGCACTCCCAAAACTAAAAGCAAAGAGAAATCTCAAAACCTTAAACAAATCCCACGTTCGACGTAGCATACATACATACATAGGTTATGCATTTGGAGGGAAGAGAGGGAGGAGTGACCTGGTAAACCAGAGGGGTTATTACTTGTTCAATTCATAGGCAAAGACTCCTTCTTTTCTCATTAAGGTCGCTTTCTTTCTTCCTTCTAGCATTGTCCCTGATTGTGTTTTCGTGGTTTGACATTTGTTTTCGCCAAGAATTGTTCAAAGATCACTGGTCGGATTTCTTCTTCAAAGGTTGGAGTCTAATTGAAAGGGTCTTTATTTTTTTTGGAAGTTGCCTAACTTGCCTCCTTTTCCCCAGATTATTGATTCCCAGAGTTCGATTTTTCTTTCTTTCTTTCCCAATTGAATATCTGTGGTTGTGCTAGAATTTGTTGGTAGGCAACTGTTAGTTGTACGAGCGTTTGGACTAGTTTATAATTTCTGATCAGCGGGTTTGTCTCTGATCGTGCAAACCCCTGTTTATTTAGCAATTTTGTCCTTCACTTTGTGTTGTTGTTGCTTCAAAGGGCTGAAGCATGTATAGATGGGGTTGCATGAATTTATGATGGTCGAGTTAAAACATCGTTTTCAAAATTAAGGAGAGTTTGTACTCGAGACAAGAAAAAGAAACTACCAGCGAATCCAAGAATGGGAAACAATTGTGTGAATGCAAGAGTTTCAAAGCTCGGGATCTTTCAGAATATTTCGCATTCTTTATGGGGGCCTAAATTACCTGATAAGATTGCACATGAAAACAGTACAGTCGTTAGCAGCGAAAAGCCCTCCGTGGCTAAAGAGTCTAAGGAATCAGAAGGTAGCCTATCTGTACAGCATACACCTCCTGAATTGGTCGTTATAGTTAAGGATGGGAATGCAATTTCAAAGCCTGTGAATCCTCAGGAAGTGATCATGCTGATTAAGGAAGAGGAAAAACCAGCCAGGGCGATGAAATGGGAAGATGTAGTCAAGGAGAAAAGGGAAGATACAAACTTAAGGGCAGATGAAAAGCCCAAGCCAACAGCAACTGTAATATCAAAATCCACTGAAGATGTAGTCAAGGAGAAAAGGGAAGTTACAAACTTAAGGGCAGATGAAAAGCCCAAGCCAACAGCAACTGTAATATCAGAATCCACGGAAGATGCAAGACCTGCAGAAGTCTCAAGACCTGAGCAACCTGCACAAGTCACGAGACCCCAGCAGGCAGCCGAGACAGCAACAGTGTCCCCCAAACCGAGTGAGGCTGCAAAACCAAATAAGGCACACAATGTCAAGAGGATGGCAAGTGCAGGCCTCAAGGTGGACCGTATTTTAAGAACTAAAACTGCTCATCTTAAGGAGCACTACAATTTGGGGCAGAAACTTGGAAACGGCCAGTTTGGAACTACTTTTCTTTGTGTGGAGAGAGCTACCGGGAAACAGTATGCTTGCAAATCCATTGCAAAAAGGAAATTGCTGACTCTGGATGATGTTGATGATGTCAGGAGAGAGATTGAGATCATGCATCACTTATCTGGGAACCCGAATATTATTTCCATCAAAGGTGCTTATGAGGACAATGTAGCTGTTCATGTTGTCATGGAATTATGCACAGGCGGTGAGCTTTTTGATAGAATTGTCAAGCGGGGCCATTACAGTGAGAGAAAGGCTGCTGATCTTACTAGGACCATAGTTGGTGTGATCCAGACTTGTCATTCTTTAGGAGTCATGCATCGTGATCTTAAGCCAGAGAATTTCCTCTTTGTCAATAATGAAGAGGACTCACCAATTATGACAATAGATTTTGGATTGTCTACGTTCTTCAAACCAGGTACGTTGCTATTGCATACTACTTTTAGATTCTTTCATTTTGTTTCAGCACTGGTTGGTTAATCGAGTTCTTTTAGCCTTGGTGAACTTTTTATCAGTAGTTTGTGCACAGCAATAAGAAGTTGCATTGTTTTCTCGACTATAAGGAAAGCGCAAATACACGTTTTCATCAAAACAGGGAGCAATACATTTAGTTGATCAAAGAAGCTTTGAGATTCTTGACAATCACAATTCAGCTCAAGGCTGTTTTGGTTCATAGGGACAAGCAAAGAATTATGCGAATTCAGTTCAGGCCCTATAAGCATTTGTTGGGATGTAAGCAACTGTAAAGGCAATATATCATGTGTATTTTCTCTTTGTCAATCAAAGCTTTAATTTGAAGATATTTTGGTGGTTTAAGCGTCCGTTTTAGCATCCTTTAAATAGACTAGTTTAGCATTCTGCTCAAGTTGAATTTGCAATAGGTTCCCGCCGACAATAGATGAAAGACAATGTTGTCGTCTTCTTACTAATATGTGCTTAATTAAAGACACAATTAATGGTTCATAATTGAAAGCTTTATTCTTGTTGGGAAGACAATTTCCTTTATCAAAATAGTTTCCTCTTTACACTAGATAGAGAAGGCCATAAGTTTCATTCTTTTCAAAATTGGTAGATTGGTGTTCAAGAAGGAAATTCACCAGTTATTGTCTTGGTCTGCAAGAGATCAAGTATTTTGGTAGGTTTAAAGGTAGCTGTTCATTTCAGAATAATAAATCAGCTAGATATGAAAGATAAGCCAAAGCTCATAGAACAGGATTGAAGACACTCAAGCGCTTTTTTTTAACTATTACTATTGTTGTTATTATTATTATTTTATGTAGCGAGTGCATTGGCAGGATAAGTTATGTACACCAAAGCAATTATGTTGCTTGATAACAAATCAGTTTTTACTCCACAGTGGACACAGGTTATTTGTTGTTTAACTATTGAAAGATTTTCTTCTAACAATTGTTCTGATAACTAGTGAATTTTGGAATCTACTTCTCTCCAGCAAGTCAAATAAAATGTTCAATCTGTTGAACTACAGGGGTGACGTTCACTGATGTTGTTGGAAGCCCATATTATGTTGCCCCTGAAGTTCTTTGTAAGCGATATGGTCCAGAGGCGGATATATGGAGTGCAGGAGTGATAATTTACATTCTTCTTAGTGGTGTGCCTCCATTTTGGGGCGGTAAGAGGGGCTGTTTTTTCCTGAACTTTTGATATATCGTCTTATATAGATTTTTAACTTAGTTATCCTTCTTGTTTTTTTTCTTCGAATTTTGCAGAAAGTGAACAGGAAATCTTTGAGGAGGTTTTGCATGGTGATCTTGACTTCTCATCAGATCCTTGGCCTAAAATCTCTGAGAGTGCAAAAGATTTAGTTCGGAAGATGCTTGTCAGAGATCCCAAAAAGAGGCTAACTGCCCATCAAGTTCTTTGTGAGTTCCTATCAACAGATCCTCTGTTCTTCGTTTCTTATTTTTGAATTTGTATTGTTCCTCAATGCTAAGAACGTTAAGACAGAACCCAGGCAAATAGTCTTGCCTATATTAGAGGAAATATGCTTAAGTAAGGCTTTTTGTCACAACTAATAAAGAGGATGAAAGATTGTGACTGCATATTTTGTTACATTAAGAAATTCATATGCCCGATATAGACATGATATCATCTTGGTTTAGTTTATCGACATCATTCCTTACTCAAATTATTATCTCTCTTTTCAAAGCTGAAAATGGATCTGCAACTGTTTAGCATCAGTTCTAACCATGGTTACATTATGTTTCTTTAGGTTTATGAGAATGTTCCATATTTAATATAAAATTATCCAAGTTCTCCATCAGCATGCTCCAATTAACAGCATAGTCTACGATGTCCAATCAATATTCTTGAGTACTTTGATTATACTGGTTTCATATTCTTGAAAAGCATGGTGAAGAAGTTTTTTGCAGTTGGGTTCTTATGTCACAATTGTCTTATGCATTGACTGACATTATGAACATGAAGAACTCTAAAATTTGATTTGCTTGCAGGTCACCCTTGGGTGCGAGTTGATGGGGTTGCTCCAGATAAGCCTCTTGACTCTGCAGTCTTGAGCCGCTTGACACAGTTTTCAGCAATGAATAAGTTCAAGAAAATGGCTCTCAGGGTAATTTATGAGTTCTTTTTTTTTAAACTTTTGTTTTGTTCTGTTCTGAGAAGAGAACGTTTTGATTAGTATGTGTATTACTGTGGTTTTGGTAATTCTTGTAACTTTCAACTGTAGATCCACCTGATGGATGCAAGCATTTTATGAATAGAGAGCTGTGAAATTCATGCTTGTCTGTGTATATGTATCTATCAAGAAAATGCATCTTCTAAGTTGCTTCTTTTTTTCATGTAGGTTATCGCTGAGAGTCTGTCTGAAGAAGAAATTGCAGGTTTAAAAGAAATGTTTAAGATGATAGACACGGACAACAGTGGGCAAATTACTTTTGAAGAACTGAAGGCGGGACTAAAAAGATTTGGAGCTGATCTTAATGAGTCAGAGATATATGATTTAATGCGGGCTGTAAGTATCTGTACGGAAACATGAGATTTTATCTTTCAACTCTTTTTTCTTTTGGGGTACATATGATCGGGTACCAAAGAATGTTGTAGTACACGTATATATCTCTGAGTTGGTCTAGTTGTTAGCTCTAGTAAACGCAAAACTTTTAACATGTTTTTGTTTAGATAATCTTTGAAGTAGAAATTATGTGGTAGCAGAAATTCTGTGTGAGACAGGACATGTATATATATATATGTGTGTGTGTGATTTCCTTATCTAAGCAGTTAAATTCTGAAAATGCAGGCTGACATTGACAACAATGGTGCCATTGACTATGGGGAGTTCATTGCTGCAACATTGCATCTCAACAAAATTGAGAAAGAAGATCATTTGTGTGCTGCTTTTCAATATTTTGATAAGGATGGCAGCGGTTACATTACGATGGATGAGCTTCAGAAGGCATGCGAGGAGTTTGGCATAAATGAAGGGCACCTCGAAGAAATGATCAAAGAAGCCGATCAGAATAATGTAAGTTGCTTCACATCACCTGTACTTTAGTCCCAAGATTCTGAACTATTGGTTGCATCTCTTCTCATGCATTTAATCGCTACGTACAAGGATGAAAGAAATTCACCTAATGAAACCAATCAAGTTAAAACTGCCATGTAGTTGGCTTCACTGAACAAGGGAATTGTTAGCAGATTTCAATTTGCTGCACTGGTCGTCTTGTTTATGATTGTGTTAGAAGTTTAATGTCCACTTTTATAAACATGGACATATTTTTCTCTCTCTCTCTCAGGATGGCCAGATAGATTACAATGAGTTCGTGGCCATGATGCACAAAGGGATTACTGATCTTGGTAAGCAGCATCTGGGAAGTAGTTTAAACCTTGGATTTAGGGAGACAATGCAGGCCTGTTAACAATGCGATGGCCTGCAATAATCCAATGCATCTCTACCGATTTTGTAAATGATTGAATAAGTTGCGTAGGTTTGAGCATTGGCTAATTAGAATATTTGTTTAGCTCTTTTTAGTTTTAGAAACTGCAAATTGTTCAATGGATAGTAAGTAGTAAAAGTTTTCCAGTCGAGGAGGCTCTTTATTTCCTTCTCTGTGTTTGCAACTTTTCTCATCTGCGAGAAAAACGATACTGCTTGAAGCATATGATTAGTAGTAGTAGTAGTAGTAGTCGTCGTATACAGAAATTATGGGCTGAGACTGGGAGAAACCAGCCCTACTGGGCTCAATTAATCCACAATGTTCCGTTTGGTCCTGGACCTATATTTTACTATCACCATTTTTCGGGTTAAACAAGATGCAGATTGCTGCAATTAACGTTTCTGCTCCTGGCGAATCATATATATTTTTTCTTCTCAAATCCCCTCTTGATTGTCATTTCTTTTTTAAGTTTTCTCTTCTTTTCCGTCGTCTATACGTTATTCTACGAGAGTATATTATCACTCTTCACAATCCCCCTAGAAAGGGAGGCACTTAATATTAAGGGTTAATTGTGATATGCACCCCTCAACTATCATTGATTTGTAATTTGCCTCTTTAGTACCTTGTGCTATCAATTTTTCGTAGATTGTTCAAAAATGTTGCAAGGGCAACCAATTTGGCTTCCAAATTTCTAATGAAATAATTTAGTACCCCCGAGTTTGTATATGTTCACCGAAATTCTCCTATAAATTTAGAAATTTTTAGTCAAATACTATAATTTCCAAATTTCTGTTACCATCTGTGTTTTTTAAATCTCACTCATTTCCTACTAAAAACAAATATATATATATATATATATATATATATGTGAAAAAAAAACTACTACGTTTTTATTGGTTTATGCAATGTGCCGTAAGTTGATAGTACAAGGTACTTAAATGCTGCAACTAATAATACTTTAGAGTCTGAACTACTAATGAATGATAAGATTGAGGGCACAATTTGCAATTAACCCTAAAGTTAGAGAACGATTTGGTTCTTATCGCTATGATTACGACGTGCTTTTCATACTTAGTTTGCAACAAGGCTGGCTAGCGGCTACTCAGCTTTAGAGTTTATCCTGTTTGAGGATAATTGCAAAATAGGATACCCCTACCGAGGAGGCGAGGACTCGTTGAGAGTTATGTACAAGCAAGCACTTGATTGCTGCTGCACTAATAATTCATGTCATCCCAAACCTGACCCTGTCTAAATTATCCTCTACTTTAAATCTCTTTTTTTAACCAAATTTAATTATTCATTGATTTGGTCCCAAGCTTTTATAGTCAAAGGGATAACTCAATATAGAGATGGGCCCGTATCAATTTTTAAAATCCCTCCTCCCTCCTGGGGTTTAGTCCTCCAATTATCTATCATGTACAGCTTGAATACTTCATTATCAATGCACCATCACCACGTTGCCTTCAGATGAGACCACACAGCCAACAGCCCAAGACATTCAAGACATTTAAGTCTTGGTGGTGGGGGGGGGGGGGGGTTTGGGGTTGTCATTTAATTGTGGTTTCTTTCGACAGAAAAATTTAATCGGCTCCTTCTCTTTAAATGAGGGTAAAATAGGTTATACAAATGTTATCATCGTTGTCAACTAAAAAAAAAAAAAAAAAAAAAAAGAGATCACACCAACACTTGTTAAAATTGATTAAAAGATACTTCTAGTAGTTACAAACGCAATTTAAGTGTCTAAATTGATGGCTAAAGGATTATTAAGATTCTGCTTTTAACATAGAAACTTGAAGAAGGATAAATTCTTAGGGTTGGACCTAGTTGCATGCATTCCTTGAAAATATCCTACGAAACAGGGGTACTGGAATTTAACACATTCATAAGTAATAAATGGTTGAGCCCTTTTTTCTAGTGTTTCTTTAGAAGAAGACAGGACAGGAGGATATCATATGATTTTCTCTCTGTTACGTACGGTAACGAATCCTATGCATTGCCTGCTGTGTCAAATGTTTGTCCAGAAGTTTGTGCTTGGGTTACGAAAAATTGCTATGTTTTTTTTAACATATTTTTATTTTATATATATATATATATATCAAATTATTATAATAATTTTTTTTATAAAAAAATTCAGAAAAATACAATCCAAACACAGTCTAGCGGTAGCATGCCATTATCATGCATCGATCTCAACAAGAAAAAAATGATGAAGACGAGTAATAAGTTTGATGACAAGAAAAGAAAGTACTCCGATCAATGCCAAGCTTGAATACAACGTACCCACTCACAAAATCCCAATCCCTCCCTTACTACAATTATTATTATCATTCCAAGGTGGGAGAATGATTTCTGAACAACCTCCACCCCACCAAGATCAACGGTCTAGATTCCTCCAACGGATATGATTCAGCCGTATGATGGATCGTCTTCCGCTACACGTTCTGACAGCTCATAATCCTCAACGGCGGTTGGCGGTGCACGTCAAGATACGCCGAACGTGGGACCAATCACGTTGCTCGGTCGTGCCACGTTGGCCTTCAACGCGACAGCCCCTCCGCCTGCGCGCAGAGGCTCATCGCCAGTTTTATCCCCCACGTTCTCCTACAGTTGCTCCTCTGTTTTTATTATATACTCCTTGCGTGCAATCACTTGCTGCGCAGCTACTTTACCCTTCTGCCCTTGATTAATTTAACAATCAAATGCTCTATTTGACTAATATGCCCTTCTATTTACCCTTCATCAACACTCACATGACGTGCATTTTGAGTTGCCTCATAGTAGGTGTTCATGTCATGGTCGCCCAAAAATTTGTCTTGCATCACGGAGACTTTGCTCCCATGGTTTTGGTCCTCAAATCTCAATCGCAGCTACCGAATGGTATGGTGAAGATGAGACATGATGGCGAGATAATGATCTGCCATTCTGCTTTTGTCATTCAAATGTCAAGACATGCTCATTCGCTCCATTAAGCGTAAGTTTACCTTGTTCGGAGGGAACTAGAATTCGATCCTTTTTTTTTTTGACATTTCGACCATATGTATCAAAATGTCCGAGATTTCCTGCGGCTGCCAAATGGCTTCTCTGTTGACTTCAAGCAACAAAATGACTAAAGAGGATAATCAATCGGTTTACGAAGGGGCAGAATCGGTTTGAACACAAAGAGGAAAAGTTAGGGGATATTTATCATTATCTAAGTTTTTTTTTTTTTTTTGAAAATGTGCTAGTACGGTTTCATCATTTGTTGGGAAGGTAACAAAGAAAGTTAAAAAATGACAAATAGAAGTAGAGTAGATCTCATATACACTAACATTGTATACACTATCACCGTTGAATCCATGACATAGGCATAAAAGTTTAATTTTAAATTCAAATTTTATATAATTGTCATTCATCCAATACTGACTATTAATGTAGCATAGAAAAGATTAATCCATAGAAGTAACACCCACCCTCTAAATTTTCTAAATTTTATTTAGTAAGATATGGAAATACTAAAGTTTCTATATGCACACGAGGGTACCTATAAATGTATTAGTCTGCCGATGACTTGCATTTTTAAATTACTGCACATGTTTCAGAGTTCGAAACTAGGAATCATATGAAAAACGAACACAAAAAAAAAATAAATAAAACATGTTTTGCTTGTGAAAAACTAATTCAAAGAATCAATATAATCATTAAAATGTACTTGCATAGGTTCTAAGGAGTTGTTTAATTATCATCATTAAAATGTATGCACGGTCACCGTTAAATATATATAAATGTTTTAAATAATCAAGGGTATCAAAGTAGTATCATTTTATAAGAACACCAACTGATATGAGGGAGGATTCTAGGATGAAATTGAGATGCCAGCCGCGTCAATCAAAGCATGTAGTGGTTGCTTACTTGCTGACCTTTGCTCCGTGCTGTCCAAATGGATCTTCAATTATAATCACCCCGAGGTGTTCTCCACCATGATTTCTGTTTCGCTCAAGTTTCCCGTAATTTTGTCGTGATAGAAAGAGAGATATTACATATTCCATTATGTTTACAACAGCTAGAATACCGTAAATGTTGCTCAATCAGCTGGAAATTTTCTCCATAAAAAGCAAACGAACTAGGAAAAGAATTGCCACACTGAAGTAGACCCAAAAAAAAAAAAAACTATCAAATCCCACACATAAATAGGAAATGCAAATGATCTGCGCCTTCTTTTTTTTTTTTCCCAGGATCGTATTTATTTCCCTCTCATTTCTTGAGAGACAGTTTTTGGATTCTGGTTAGGAGAGTGGCAGTTTAGTCAGTTCAGAATCTTTAATACCCCCGCAAGTCATAAACCATTTCTCTGGAAAACTGGCCCTCATCTTGACTTATTTTTACCTCCTATTATCAGTCTCTGTGACAGTGAATGGGAACCACCCCAGCAAGTGGCATCCCTCTCTCTTTTTAGTACTGGTCGAACCAGATATCAACTCTGAGCACAATTCCGAGGCATATCAGCTGAACAACTGAGCAGCACGATTTCCAGGGGTATCACCGTATCAGGTCATCCGCATCGATTGTTCCAAAAAGAAGGTACCACTTCCAAAATTCCAACTTTATGCTTTTACGCTTTCACTTGTTTTACCCGTTTACTAGAAGTGGTATGACAATTCTGGATCCTGCACTCGATTTTCTTACCATTTCAGCACCGAATTCCGTTGGATCACTGTCTTTTTCTGCTTCTTTTTTCTGGGATTTTCATTAGGATTCCAATGACTGGTCTTGTTTTATGATGATATGTTTATTGGATAGTAAGGAATAGTGGAGATGATAGAATGCATCAGAGCATCACCTTTTCCTAGTTTCTGCATTTATATCTTCCAACTTTTTTATTCTTTTTAGTATTTTGACAATAGGTTTTTCAAATTTAGCATTTTAATATTCAGTCTTGGTGAATGCAAGAAATTCAACTCTATGTATTCAATTCTTACTTAAAGTTCGAAAATTTTATCTCTATGGATGGATAGCTTCTTCATATGGAGTCTGAAAATGGGGTTCAAGTCGAAGATGAAAAGAGTGGTTTTGTCGGAATGCGAACTAATGGTGGACCTGGATCGGTTCAGGACGTTAAGGAGGATGGCAGCGTCAAAAACAATGAACAAGCATCTGATGAGAATGGCTTTTCTGAAATGAAGGCTAAGGTG